AAAAGAAAAAAACTAGAAGACTTTAGTTGCTTCATATGGCATTTTGAGTAAATCTATATTGAAACAAGTTATGTCTGGTGATTTTCATAACATATTTTCGCGTCAAACAATGGGCGATGTGGGTGATGAAGAAAAGGTTCCCAACCACTTGCATTTGTCATGTGGCATGACACCTCTGTGGCCACATGATATTTTATATTTCTTGCCAGGTGGGAAAAAATCAATGACAACACAATGCTTACTGAGCACTTTGTATGCTAGTTTGTTTTCTTTATTCTTTATTTCTTCCTTTTTCTCGATTTTCTCGAAATCGCAGTCACGGGTTGATGAACAATAGATATATCAGGGAAATTTGTATGTAAGGGAGATGATATATTAATTTTACCTCTAATGATGGCATAAGAAATCGAGGTCCAATACAACACCCACCCACCGCAAAGCTACCTGGGGGTTGTGAAGTGGGGGGGTGGGAGGAGGGGGTCGGTGCATGTTCGTGACTACTATACTGGTAACACCAGAGAATCCTATCACCAAACACATTACGAAAACCACCATTGACAGTGCCCTTATCAACTTAAGTATCACATTCCAACTGCCAACTAGTGCAGGTATATGCAACGTATGCGTTGTAAGAAATTTGGACTCTGAGTTGTTATTGGTCGCCCCTGACCTACTTTTCCCCAATCTGGGATCTGAGCGATTCTGAAAGAAGAAGATACTATAGTGAGAGCTGTACAATCACCTCCTCCTCATGGAATTGGAACATCATTAGCTTATGGGGATACGACAACCTGGCTTCAGTTTCCGCAATTGGACAAAGGGTCCTTGGGGTGCCTGAGTCAAGAAGCAACCGTAAAGACTTTCGAGTCAAATTGGGTGGAAGTTTTTTTTTTCGTTGATGTTTTCATACCCTGTTTCTCACTTGTTTTACTGACCCGGTGCAGAAATCACACAGCTTACAGCACGTGCGTGGACGTCACACAAACACGAGACTAGCCCTATAAAATCACATGTCTGCTCGGTATAAGTGACAGTGCTGAACAATCCTAGGAATTAGCCCACATCCACGCGATCGCCCATGGCGAGCAGCGTGTGCCGTAATCAACCAGCAAACATTTTTTTTTTTGTAACTGTGGGGATGACCACGAGGGACAAGAAAGGCCTTTGGTTTGAGCCGAGAAGGACGGCCACCTTGCCTTCACTTGCTGGCAACAGATCGGATTGAAAATCCCAGGCAGTGCGCTGCCACAGCAGGAGTCCAACTCCACCGCAACAACCGTCACGCCCTCTGGGTTGCAGGGCGTTTTCGGAGTGAGTTCTGGCCGCCTAACAGCATTTGTCGCCTGCCCACCATGACATGACTGGACATGTGCACTGGCTTATCAGCTTAACCATTGCGAAACCCTGCCCTGACCGAGATATATTGTAAAAGTAACCGGTAATAAATAAAGAATTCGACGAAATCTCCCAGCGGCGACCTCCCTGTTCGTTAATTGCTGGGAAAGTCGCCAATTCACTCAGCTTACTATAAATGTTAAACTGATGCTGGAATTTTGCGAAGTCACTATAAAATCAGTTCCTGGCATGATAAAAAACAGAGGAAGAGTCAAGCAAGCAGCACAGGGTGGGGGGATGGTACACAGACGAGGTACTTTAAGAGGGCGCTTAAGTTCTCTTTGAACCCTCTCTTCTGCTAGTAGCAAAGTGTTCAAAAATGAAATCCTCAGTTATAATCTCCATAAGAGGGTTAAAAACCCGTAATTTCTTGACTCAGGGTTCTGCAGTGGCAGGGTTACCTCGTTGACATCTAATTGGCTGATTTGCCCTACACAATTGTTGCCATAATAGATTTTGGCGTCACAACACCTTGACCTGGTTGACAGGTGTTTGAATCAACCTCAATGGCAGATACAAATGTAAAACCCTTCTACATTTGTTCAGACAAGGACGATACCCTGCCATTCCTGGAAACGCCTCACCAGGCCCCCATTTGTGGCAGGGTGAACCTGGGTGTTCTCCAAGTACCCAGTCGGATCCGTCATCTTTCCCTACATTGCCCACACTTGCGCACGACGCCAAAAGAAGGCGCACGGTGGCGAACAACGGGCATGACGAGCTTGCGACAGTGTTTTGCGAAAAAAAAGCACTGTACAGGCGTTACAGAAAACGCATTTCTCCGGAAATTGCTATGCAACCATCAAGAGCGACTTTGGACAGCAAACCCATCCACAAATGCAACCCCAACAACACCAGCTCATTGCACCAGCCCTCCAGCCTTCCCTTTCCCCTTCCAAACAGCTCACTCCATTCCTTTCCGCTTTCGTTCCCCAATTCGTAGTAAAGACGGTGCCTTAATACGCTAGACTATACCAACACACCAAGTACATCTGTAAATCCGGCTTCAAACCCCCTGCATACTTTTAACGTAGCAGTATGACTGACAATGTAACCGATGCTGAAGTTGCAGGAACCACTGGCAATATGAGCTCTGCCAGTGCCGTGGCCAGCAACCATCGCGTCAGATCTGTGTTCAGCACAGATACGAGCAGGCTTCCTGCAGCAGTCGTGAACGGAGACGGACACACGTGGCTTAAGTACGGCAAAAAACGCATCGGAAACCACGTCAGGTCGTAAATCTCAGGCCATCACAGCCTTTTTATTTACTTTGGAAGAGCCTTGCCGACTACAATGCTAGCCCATTGGCCCTCGAGACTGCAGGTCCTGCGAATGGACTTTTAGATACCTTATTGATTTGAAAACGGGTTGTTCAACCTTTCAACTTACACCAGGACCGAGCTGATAATTTTTGGACGGCCCCTACATTTCTCTGTTTGGATTTTCTCTGCGGCATCCCTGGGTAGCTGTGCTCGACCTGAGGCACTGGCATGTTTACCGCACCTCTCCATGATTGCAATGCAGTGTGTCCCCAGATTTGTTGAATACATGAAGTCTGGGAACCCATCGCAACTTGACCTGCTGGGGAACCAACATGACCCATCTGTATCCAGGGACGCGCGGCATTAAATCGCTTCCCAGACTTCCTTTGAAAAAACACGTGGTCACACATCCAGGACAACAACACATCCGGCTGCTTGGTCTAGCCTAAAGCCAGAGGTACTCCTCTCATCATCCCCCCCTCATGCGTTTCTCCTATGTCCTCATCCCCACATGCAGGTTCTAGTAGGAAAGCCAATATGTTTTTCCAAGACTTCAGGCCTGAGGTTCTCTCCAGATTTTATTCCCCTTTCACATGTTTTTCTTATCCGTTTACCTCCCTCCCGTACATGCCAGGGCAACAGGTGCATATGGTCCAAGATCCTGAGGCACCAGACTCCTCATTCCCACATCACATTCCTCTCTCACATGTTTCTCTGATCATTACCCTCCTCACAGAGGTTCTCGGACAGCGGGTGAGCCTGGTCCAAGCTTTTTGGAGCATGAGGTGCTCTTCATTCCCACATTCCATTCCTCTCTCACATTTGATATTTTTACCTCCTCACATAGGTTAGGACAACGGGTGAGCCTGGCCCATGTTTCTGAAGCATGAGAGTGCACTTCATTCTCTGAGCCTTCCCTGATCTTTTTACCCTCTCAGAAACGTCACGTAAGTGAAGGCTTCACAAGATCCTACACAACAGGTGCACCTCGGCCAAGATCTCAGAAGCCAAGATCTCGGCCAAGATCTCAGAAGCCAAGATCTCGGCCAAGATCTCAGAAGTCAAGATCTCGGACAAGATCTCAGAAGCCAAGATCTCGGCCAAGATCTCAGAAGCCAAGATCTCGGACAAGATCTCAGAAGCCGAGATCTCGGACAAGATCTCAGAAGCCAAGATCTCGGCCAAGATCTCAGAAGCCAAGATCTCCTCATTTTCCAAATTTCATTCCCCTCTCACATCTGTTTCTGTTATCTGCACCCCTCTAACGTAGATTCTAGGACAAAGAGTGCGTGGACCAGGACTCTTGAAATATGATAAACTCCTCACTCCGAAGATCCAATCCTCTCTCACATGTTTCGCTTCTCTTTACCCTCCCCACACAAGCGCTATGACAATGTTTGCGCTTGGTTCAAGACCCCCTGAAGCATGAAATCATATCTACATTCCGTTCCTCACATATTTCTCTTATCCCTTTACCCTCCTTACATGCCCGAACAGCAGGCGCTCCTCGTCCAACATCCCTGACGCATGAGTTACCCCTCATTCTCACAATCCATTCCCCTCATCACATGTTTCTCTTACCTCTTCCTCCACCCTCAACCCCCCCTCACCCAACCCCCATGTGCTAGGACAACAGATGTTCAGAGGTCCTCGATTCTGAAAGCTTCGGTCGCTCTTCATTTCCACATTGTCCACTCTGACATGTTTCTCTCTATTCCATGCTAGAACAACAGTTGCGCCTGGTCCAAGCTGTCTGAGGCCTGAGTTACTCTTGGTTCCCACACTCCATTCCTGTCTCACATGTTTCTCTTTCTCGTTACCGCCCTCGCAAGTGGGCTTGGACCAAGATTTTCTAAGCCTGAGTTACCTCTCATTCCCAACATCCAAACCTCTCTCACATTGTCGCTTCTCTTTACCCTCCTCACGTAGGAGCTCGGACAACGGTGCGCTTGATCCAAGATCCCTGAAGCATGAGTTACCCCTCACTCTCACAATGTAATCCCCTCTTACATGCCTCTCTTATCTCTTCACCCTCCCTCACCCACCCCCCACCCTCCCTCGCACATGTTGCTAGGACAACAGGTGCGTCGTGGTCCACAATTTCTGAAGCCTAAGTTACTCCTCATTCGTAATTTCTGTTGCTCTCTCACATGTTTCTCTCTTTATCCCATGCCATAACATTGGGTTCGACGGGCCCAAGACCTCTCATGCCTGAGAGGCTCTTCTTTCCCTAATTCCGTTCCCATCTCACATTTTTCTCCTTTCTCTTTTATCCCCACATGCAGGTGCTACTACAGGTGTGCCTGGTCCAATAGTCCAAGGGCCTGCCTTGCGAGAAAAACCATGGACTTCGGCCCTGCACGCCGTGCTACGAGCAGCACCACGGGTGATACTCATGAGCCTGCTGCTGACACCAGTGGGGGCAACACCAGCGCAACACCGCACACCATGGTAGCATCTGCTGAGGAGATACCAGCGGACACCGCCAGCAGCACCCCAGTCTGCCTCCCAGACTCAGTCCATCGCAGAGTACCCGCCTGCCACGAGCCCACAGTCGTCACGGTGTACCATAGCGACCACAACCACCAGGAGCGCGGGCCTCCCCCACGCCGCCACAAGCGGCAAGCGGCACGGCTTGAGAAGGCGGCAGCTGCGGCGGCAGCGGCGGCGGCAGCAGCGACGGCCAGCCAGCTGGTCAAAGCGAGGACGCTTTCCCCAAGGCTCACAAAGATTCTTGCCAAGGCCCAGGAGAACTGGCTAATGACGCGTGCTACTCAGGAGGAAGATGCTTCACATCCCCCTTCACATGCCCCTTCACATCTCCCTTCACATGCCCCTTCACATGCCCCTTCACATGACCCTCCACATGCCCCTGCCCCTTCACATGCCCCTTCATATGCTCCTTTACATGCCCTTTCACATTCCCCCTCTCATCCCCCTTCACATGTCCCTTCACACGCTGCTTCATATTCCCCTTCACATGCCTGCTCACATGCCCACTCACATGCTGCTTCACATGCCACTTCCCATGCCCCTTCAAATACCCCTTCACATTCCCCTTCACATTCACACGCCACTTCACATGCCGCATCACACCCTGATCCACACGCCCATCCACATGCCCCTCTGCATCCCCATCTGCATGCTTCTGAGCACGCCCCCCACCACACCCCTCAGCAGGCCCCTCTGCATGACCCTCTGAATGCCCTTCTGCACGTCCCTCTGCATACCCCTCCGCATACCCCTCCCCAAACCCCTCCACATGGCCCACACACCTCGCCGCACGCCCTTCCGCATGCCACACCACACGCCCTTCCACGCGCCCTTCCGCGTGTGTGCAGCTGGGGTTCCCTCAGCCCGCTTTCCTCGAGAGGCAGCAACGAAGCCGAGCAGAAATCACAATCGGCAGGGCAGTATGTAGCCGCACACACTACAATGGCGACAGAAGAGCAGGAATCTGAACACCAGGGGCAGCCAGATGAGCCACAGCTGCAGGTCGATTTTTTGCCAGCAGTCGCTACTTTGGGCCTCGCGGGATGTTGTTGGGGCAGCAGCAGCAGTGCTGGTCTATTGCTGCAGCACAAGCAGCAGCAACAGCAGCAGGAGCGGCAGCAGCAGCAGCAGCAGCAGCAGCAGCAGCAGGTGCACCACCCTGTATTTGATGTGCTCGGTGGAGGCAACAGCATGAGTGTTCAAGACTTTATAGAGTGCAGCAGTGCAGTGACAGCGCAGAAAGCAAATCACATTGTTGAAATCATTCGGAACCAGTATATTGCTATGGATCTGTAACATAATTATGGCAAAAGCCATAGCAAGGTTATATATACCGAGTAATATACCTACCAATGTTAAGAACGATATTCTATAGGAAAACTACAAGAAGCAGTAGGGGAAATAGTAAGAAGCTGGATAAGTGGGAAAGTTGGACAGTGAGAGCGAGTGAGGGAGACAGCAAGAGAGATAGAGAGGGAGAGAGACAGCAAAGGATAGAGAGAGCGAGGGAGAGAGAGAGAGAGAGAGAGAGAGAGAGAGAGAGAGAGAGAGAGAGAGAGAGAGAGAGAGAGAGAGAGAGAGGCACTAGGCCCAGTCCTTAGTCTCTCCCTGCTCTCTAGCCTAGTATAGACTTAGTTTAGCCTAGCCCTAAGGCTCCTTATGCCTTGTGTCCTTAGTGTAGCCACTGCAATAGGCCTATAAGCAGTACAGGCTCCTATATATCCCCCCTGGTTCCTTCATTCCTCTCATTATTCTCTGGTGAGTGTGGATCCCCCCAACCCAGCGGCTCGTTCGAGAGAGCGAGAGAGAGAGAGAGAGAGAGAGAGAGAGAGAGAGAGAGAGAGAGAGAGAGAGAGAGAGAGAGAGAGAGAGAGAGAGAGAGAGAGAGAGGCACTAGGCCCAGTCCTTAGTCTCTCCCTGCTCTCTAGCCTAGTATAGACTTAGTTTAGCCTAGCCCTAAGGCTCCTTATGCCTTGTGTCCTTAGTGTAGCCACTGCAATAGGCCTATAAGCAGTACAGGCTCCTATATATCCCCCCTGGTTCCTTCATTCCTCTCATTATTCTCTGGTGAGTGTGGATCCCCCCAACCCAGCGGCTCGTTCGAGAGAGCGAGACAGAGAGAGAGAGAGAGAGAGAGAGAGAGAGAGAGAGAGAGAGAGAGAGAGAGAGAGAGAGAGAGAGAGAGGCACTAGGCCCAGTCCTTAGTCTCTCCCTGCTCTCTAGCCTAGTATAGACTTAGTTTAGCCTAGCCCTAAGGCTCCTTATGCCTTGTGTCCTTAGTGTAGCCACTGCAATAGGCCTATAAGCAGTACAGGCTCCTATATATCCCCCCTGGTTCCTTCATTCCTCTCATTATTCTCTGGTGAGTGTGGATCCCCCCAACCCAGCGGCTCGCGCCGGCCGCCTTCGGTGGCCGACGCTCGACAGCGCGGCCTTCGGCCGCGCGTTAGGGGTGGCAAGGACAAAAGGGGAAGGAGGCAGTTGCACAAGGAGCAGTACAAGCATGCAAGTATAAGACCCGGGGGCCGAGACTAAGGTAAGTCCCCACCAATGGGGAAGAAGAAGCAGACAACCAAAGCGACAGCCAAGGCAACACCTACATCCGCTTCACCCGCCGCCCAAGCCACCGGAGCACACACGCGAGTGCAGGGACGATCCCAAGCGGGTGCTCCTCAGCAGCCGTGGCTACCATGCGGAAAGCCGCAGCGCCAGGTCCATCGTCCAGCGCCGGGTCCTCGGGCTCAAGCGGCAGATGAAGGACATCCCACAGCGCGCGCGACACTGCCCGCCGCACCTGACCCTGCTGGTCTTCATTCATCTGCGGGTCCCTCGCTACCAGCTCCCGAGACTGAAGGGCGTCATGCAGGAGGTCAAGCACGAACGAGAGCTCAGTCACGCAACGGCCAACCTCCTGAATGCGCATCCCGCCTCCAGACTGTGGCTCCCTCCAAGGAGGGCTCGGGGGGGGAGTGTTCCAGTTCCAGTTCCCTTCGCCCGGCGCCTGGGGCCACGAAAAGCCACCATCCCAATCCATCCCAGGGTCACGAGGGGTGCCAGGCACCTCGTCTTCGCTCCAGTAGCCGCGGGCGAGGCCAGGCACAGGCTGATGCTGCGAGACCGGAGGGAGTGCAAGACGGCGGGAAACGGGGAAACGACACAGCAGAAGAGTGAGGGGCAGGGAAGGACATCACGCGGCGAGCGGGGAGAAGACAACAACGGGGGGAACTCACAAATCCGAACCGAGCTGCAGGGGGACGAGACCCCGGCACGAGGGGGTGCTGGCGCCGAGGCCCGCAATAGGCGGGAACAGGAAAAGGGAGCCCCCGAGGGCCAGGAGGAGCGGAGTCCGCCACATCCAGCCGAGGCGGGTACGTATAAGCATATGGCCCAGCATGGGTCGGCGCCGACGAGGGCGGCGCATGAGGTGGACGAGACGGCTGAGGGGGAGGCGGCGCCGGGCCTGGCCCTGGTGCCGACGACGGGGGATGCGCCAGTTCGCCTAACGGAGGAGCGTGATCGGCCTGAGAGGACGGAGCGACAGGGTCAGAAGGACGCGTCCGCGGAGGCAACGCCGGATCCGGAGCAGGAGGAGGGGGCCGCGACGGAGGGACAGGCGGCGCAGACTGCGCCTGCGCAGCCGGCGCACCCAGTTGAGATGACGCGGACTGCGACTGAGGTGGAGGGAGTTGCAACGGGTGGGACTGGGCGGCAGGAGCTTGAAGCTGGGGTCGATGACGAGCCTGGCTGGACAGCGGCGGGCGAGGGGGGCGGCGGCGACGGAAGGAATGACCGCGCGCGCGGAGAAACGGATGAGTGCGCCCGTGGGGGGAGCGGTACACAGGCTCCCTTGGTCGAGCAGGCGCCATCGGGGGCGCAGAGGGCGCGGCGCCAACACCCGCAGTCAGGCAGTCCGCGACGGCTCAGAACAGGGCTGGCACCTGCCCGCCCTGGGCCGCTGGTAGGGTGGGAACAGCAGGAGACCCCGCCGCCACGATCACTTCACGCCGAGGCGGCCGGCGCCGGCCCGTCATCAGGTACGGAGTACGCCGCGGGACGGGCCAACGAAGGAGTTGAAAGGGAGGCGGCCGACGCGGAGGAGGGGGCGGTGGTCGTAGAAGAGGAACAAGTGATCGGGATTGACAGGCGCCGAGGAGGAACAGCACGGCAGAGGCTGCTGCGAGAGCGCGCGGCGGAGGCGGCGGCGGGAAACCCGCCGGCGGGAACTCGGGGTCGAGCGCCTGTGGCGGGGAGGGGACGCGGCGGACGAGGTGCGCGAGGTCGGGCAGGGCGAGGGGACCTGGCAGCAGCCGTGGCTAGAGAGAAAGCCAGATCTGGACCTTGGCGGGAAAGGCACGGGAGGCCAGAGCGAGAGCAGGGAGGAGCTCCAATGAATGACGACGAGGAAGATGGGGACGAGGAATATATGGAGGAGGAATAAGGGGATTCAGAGGACGTGTCATTGGAGGATGAGCAAGGCATCCCAGCGGGAGGGACAAACCGAGGGGCAAGGGGTGAAGGAAACCAAGCGGAAGCCAATGAGGGTGAGTCACGTGGCGCCCAGCCCAATGAGACGGCCAGCAAGGCAAGATCACCAGCAGATATCGCCGATGACCCAGACGTCTGGCGCCAGGTGGAAGGGTGGGAGCTGGGGCCAATGTGTTGCAGCGCTCAACCCTTCCTGTTCCGGAAGCTTCCCCCCAAAATCCTGGGAGTCTACGCCTACTGCATGACGATCCCTCTGCTGCGACTCGCGAAGGTTCCAGGCTGCGCGGGGGCATGGCGAATCCTGCAATTCCTACCCAGGTTGACCCTCCGAGCCGAAATTGAGAAGGTTCAGAGAAACCGCTGGGTCGTGGTGGAGAAGCGACTTCAGCAATTTCAAGAAGAGGAATGGGAGGTGCTCTTCTCGGAAGCCTGCGTCATCCCCCCGAACCCTCAACCAAGCAGACACCAATCCGATCCGGAAGGCATGTGTGCACGGGCAGAGGGCCTAGTACAGAAGGCGAACCTGGCGAAAGCCTTAGCAGCGTTACAGTCAACCCCCCTCGCCGAGCAAACACCAGCGACGCTCGCTGCACTTCGCGCTAAACATCCGATAGCGGGGGAGGCAACGCCAGGGTGGGTTACCGGATACGACACGTCGTCCCTCACGATAGCGGCGGACGAATTTCGGGAAGTCTTAGCTAAGTGCCCGAATGGGATTGGGGCGGGACCGTCAGGCACGTGCTTTGAACACTTACGTGACCCCGCGCTGCTGAACGGGGAGGTCTTCGTGCTCCTGCACCAAGTAATCAACTCGTTGTTGAGCACCTACCTTAGTGAGTCCCTTAGGGATCTTCTCCTACCAGCGAGGTTAATAGCTCTGGAGAAGCCAGGAGGAGGGGTCAGACCGATAGCCATCGGCGAAGCGATAATTAGGCTAACGGCGAAAGCCGCGCTACGGAAACTCTCACCCGATATTCGAAAGTTTTTTCTCCCAGTTCAGTTTGGCGTGGCGGTGCCCGGAGGGGCAGAGACAGTGATCCACGCTACCCGAGCACTGCTGACGGACAAACCAAGTCGAATCGCTATACAGCTGGACATCGAGAACGCATTCAACTCCGTCGAACGTGGGAGCTTCTTCACAGCGCTACAATGGACAGCGCTCGAGCCGCTTCTACCACTGGTTCGCACGCTCTATGGCGCACCGGCTCGCCTCCTGCTAGATCCGGGCTTCGACGAACGATACATCGAAAGCGCTCGAGGTGTGCGCCAGGGAGACCCACTGGGGCCGATGCTCTTTGCGGCGGCCATACAACCAACACTATTGAGGGCGGCGGCGATGTGCCCCAACACGGTAGTGATGGCATACGAGGACGACATCACAATCATCGGCGAGCCGGCGGAGGCAATTAAGGGAGTGAACATCATCACCGAGGAGCTGCGCAAGTGCGGACTGCGATGCAACCTGGAGAAATCATCGGCGTGGTGCCCAGCAGGTTGCGCGGATGTTCTCCCTGAGGGACTGGTGGCGGCGGTCGACGGGATACGGGTGCTGGGGAGCCCGATAGGGACTAGAGAGTACGGGAGGAGGTCCATACGAACAACCCTGTGCACGGTGGCGTCGCCACTGAACCTCATCAGAAAACTGCACCCACAGCACGCACTCCTCCTCCTCTCGAGGTGTGTGTCGAGACGCATCTCCTACATGCTCCGAACTACACCGGCGGACACACTTCCCCTGGTGGAATGGAGGGATTGGAGCGAGGAACTGCTGTGGACGGCACTCAAAGCTGCAAAGATGCACGCTCCTGCAAGCGAACTGGAGCAGAGCCTGGTCTGGCGCCAGGCCACGCTACCGGTTTGCCTAGGGGGCCTGGGGCTGATAGACCCGCTTTCGGAGGCACCGGCGGCATACCTGGCCTCCCTACATGCAGCCAACACCCTCCTCAGACATATGGCGATGACGGCAGACAACCCACTGCAGCGGGTGGCGGACCTGGTGTCACCAATGGGAGGCATCCAGGGGGCAGCGGCAGGGGAGGTGACGCTAGTGGACCTTCGGAACCGGCTCCCCGATCAGGCCCGGGAGGTCCTGAAGGAGCACCACAAGAAGGGGGAGATAAAGGGGCACCTGCAGCTGATCCTCTCAAAACACATAAACCTAGACCGGGCGGCCGAGCTTGTGGGAGACACGCGGGCGGACAAGCCAGGGGCCGACAATGGACACGTGATTCGGCTCATCAGCCTGCAAGGGGTGGGGGCGGGAGACTGGTTGCATGCAATCCCCACAAGGGGTGACCTCACCTTCTCCCCCGGACAGTTTGCAGTGGCGCTAGGCTTCCGGCTAGGTCTGCCAGTGGCGGTCACGGACAAGTGCCCTTGCAAAGGGAAGCGGTCGGACATCGGGGACAGAAGCCTGCCCAATCACCTGCTGCGGTGTGCCGATGGAGGGGACAGGTTTAACACTCACAACGCTCTGGCGTACGCGGTGCTCCGGATGGCTCAGGAAGCGGACTACACAACCTTGTACGAGTCAGCGGCCTTCTCGCCCATAACCAACCAAAAGCGAGCAGACGTGGTGATCCGCGACAAGGAGTCCAACGAGACCTATGTCACTGATGTGACGGTCACGGACCCCGTCCTGCAGCGGCGTGATAAGAGAGCGGTAAAGGCACCAGGGTGGGCGGCAGAGGACGCGGCACGAGTGAAGCGGGGCCTGTACGAGGGCCGCCCGGGTTTTGTCGAGGTATTTGGTCTGGCGGTGGAAACCTACGGGGCCCTAGCTAGGGACACCCAACGGTTCTTCCGCCTCCTGGGCACCCAGGCGGCTAAGAAGAAGCACAGACAGGGGAGGCTAACTGCCGTAGCCTCCAGACTCACGGCACATTACCGGCAGCGGTGGTCGGTGATGCTCCAGCGCTGCCAGACAAATGCCCTGATGGCCAAGTCCAACAGGGCACTTGAGGCAGCGCACCCCCAGGCAGCAGCGGACCCGTGGGAACCAAGCCTCGGGGACCTGTGGCAGGTCCTTGAGGATGACCTGGCCCAGCTACTCGACTTGGGGGAGTAGAGGGCCGGGCAAGGCCATAGGGGCCTGCCCACACAGAGGGCTCTCCTCAGCTGGGCAGGCCAGGAGGGGATTGAGACGCCCTGTAGGAGGCTGAGCAGGCCAGCAAAGGTGTTGCTGTAGGGACAGGTGGGGTGACTATGCAGCCAGGCATGCCCAGCCGGCCCAAACATAGGCCCAGATTGTAATTCTGTTGTTATAGCATTGCATGCCTAGGCCAATAGGCTTGTTAGGTTTGCTGTGGCCTTGCCTGTACCCTATACACACATCAATGCAGGACTGCTTGAGAGAGAGAGAGAGAGAGAGAGAGAGAGAGAGAGAGAGAGAGAGAGAGAGAGAGAGAGAGAGAGAGAGAGAGAGAGAGAGAGAGAGAGAGAGAGAGAGAGAGAGCGTCGAGCGCCCTTCCTTCCTCGCCTCGCTCCAATGGTCGAATCTCAGCCCGATACTTCCCCTCGTGCGCAACCTCTACAATGGCCCCTCACGCCTGCTAACCGACGAGCGCTTTGGCGTCGCCTCAATCCAGAGTTCTGGAGGCGTGTGCCAAGGAGATCCCCTAGGCCCCCTGTTGTTCGCAGCTGCGATTCAGCCGGCCCTTCTGAGTGTCGCGGCGACAATGCCAGAGGTGGCGGTGGTGGCCTACGCAGATGACATCACCATCGTTGGCCCGCGTGTGGCAGCATGCCTCGCGTTCGCCAAGATAGCTGGCGAACTTGCGACGAGCGGCCTGCAGTGCAACATCTCCAAGTCTTCAGCATGGGGCGCCATGAACGAGGACACACACGCGGACTGGCCATTGGGCTTAACGGCAAACCCGGGAGGCATTAGGGTCCTCGGAAGCCCAATCGGCGGCGATGCCTTCTGCACCACCCAAGTCCGAGCAGCTCTGGAGGAAGCAGCGGCACCTCTCCCCCTCATCTCCCGACTCAACCCGCAACACGCCATGCTGATAGTATCCCGCAGTATCTCCCGCCGAAACTCCTACATGCTACGGACGACACCGGCGACATGCCTTACCCGGGTGGAGTGGAGGGAATAGAGCGAGCCTTGGTGGGCTCGGCACTTACAGCGGCAAAGCTCCACATCCCCACATCGGAGTTGGAGCAGAGCCTACTGTGGCGGCAGGCCACGCTCCCAATTTGGCTGGGAGGCCTAGGCATCATAGACCCCATCTCGGAGGCTCCTGCTGCCTACATTTCCTCGGTCACAGCTGCACATACCCTACTGCAGCACCTTAATCTACCCCCTGACTGCCTGCTCCACAGGGCGTCCTCCCTGCTCTCCCACGACTGGTCCCCACCGCCGCCTGCCATCAACACCCTGACCCACCTGGAGGAGAGCCTACCGGCCCCGGCACAGGTGGCACTAGGTGCCTACAGGACGGGGGGGCGTGGCACAGGCAGCCTCCAGCTGTGCCTCTCCAAATTCATCAACCAGTAGCGTGCAGCGGATCTGCTCGGTGACACAGTGGTGGACCGACCTGGCTCCAACAGGGGCCACGCACTGCGGCTGATCAGTCTTACAGGAGCTGGGGCGGGCGACTGGCTTCATGCGGTGCCAACGAGAGCTGACCTCTCTATTTCCCCTGGTCAGTTCTCGTTGGCCCTAGGTCTACGCCTTGGCATGGAGCTCCCGGTAGCCGAGGTGTGCCCGTGCAAACGTGACAACTCGGCGATTGGGGACAAGAGTCTCCCGAACCACCTACTGCGCTGCCAGGACGAGGGAGATACCGTCAGGACTCACAACGCACTTGTCTATGCGGCGCTGCGAATGGCAAATGAGGTAGGCTATAAGACATTTCACGAAACCTCTGCCTTCTCACCGCCAGTCATCAGGAAACGGGCAGACCTAGCCATACGGGACCAGGAGTCAGGGGAAACATGGGTGACTGA